TAACTTTAGAAAAAATGAATAGATTTTAAGATGCATTGAAACACCATGATTTAGCTATTTTGAAATACCCTGAAAATGCAGAATATTATCGTGGAAAAGGTATAACTAACTTCATATAATTTAATAGCGGATACTCTGCAATAAATGAATAGATATGAAGAAGCTATTAAATATTATAATTTAGCTATTTAAAAAAATCCAAAACTTCCATGTATTTTAATAACAAAGGTAATGAAATTTGTTTAACTTCTTAGCTTCTACTCTATATAAAATGAATAGTATCGAAGAATCATTGGAATAATTTGATTAAGCAATTTATTAAAACCCTGAAGATTCTAATTATTATCATAATAAAGGGTAAAAAGACCCATATAATTTTATATTTATTGAAAAGATTTGAGGAATCATTGAAATATTTAGATTTAGCTATTAATAGAAACCCTGAAAATCCAAAAAATTATCATAGCAAAGGTTGAATTAACTTTTAATTTAGCGCTAACTTTAGAAAAAATGAATAGATTTGAAGAGGCATTGGAATACTACGATTCAGCTATTCAGAAAAACCCAGAAATACCAGACCATTATAATGACAAAGGTAAAATTTAGGTTACATACGTTTTAGCTAATACTTTACATAATATGGATAGATTTAATGAAGCATTGAAATATTTTGACTATGCTATTTAGAAAAACCCTGAAAATCCTCTTTATTATCGGAACAAAGGTATAATTAAAACTACGTAATTTCTAGCTGTGACTATGGAAGCAACGAATAGATTTGTAGAAGCTTTGGAATATTATGATTCAGCTATTTCCATATACCCTGAAAATGCAGACTATTATTATGGCAAAGGTATTATAAATTTGACAAAATTTTTAGCAAATACTTTACTAAGAATGAATAAATTTGAAGAAGCATTGTAATAGTGTGATTCAGCTATTTCAAAAAACCCAGAAATTTCAGATTATTATAATAGCAAAGGTAATTGAAACTATTATAAATGTTTAGCTTATTTATTATATTAATTGAATAGATATGAAGAATAATTAAGATAATATGACTTAGCAATTCAGAAAAACTCTAAAGATTCTGATTATTACAATAACAAAGGTAAACCTAAATTAGCATAATTGTTTAGCTTATTTATTATATTATTTGAATAGATATGAAGAATCATTAAAATTATATTACTTAACTATTTAGAAAAACCCTAAAAATATAAATTAGTGTTATAGCAAACGTATAATTGAATCTCCATCACTTGTTATTTAAGATCTCCTTTAAAAGTTGTTGTTTATCAATTTATTTTTAGTAAGAATGTCATAGATATGAGAAATAGTAAGAACGCTAGGCTTTAGAGATAAAATGAAAATCTCACAGCAACATTATTTTAATTTCAAAATCAAATAATATTTAATTAATCTTATATTCTGAAATGATTATTAAAAGTCTCAGTAAAACCTTACTTGCTTCTTCAATATTTGCATTTCTATTATCTTTAATTTTCATTTTTTCAATTTTTATTTAATACATATCCCCATATAAAGTAGTAGGTTGGTCTCGTAATGGTAGCTAGAACACGCGAAGGCTACAAATTACATTCTCTACAGAAAGACTTTCAAATACTGGCCCCTGGATTAGTAGCTACTTCTTGTATGCTATATTCTGTTTTACTTATTGCTCTAAGTCTTAGAACCTTTTTAGGTATCTTCC